TTTTAAAAATAAAAAATAGGCTAATAGTAATGGTTGCAAGTGATTAATGGTGTTTATGATAAAAAAATTAGTCAAAATAACTATATTTTTTTTAAAAAAATCAAATATAGTGTGTCTTGAAAAATAAAAAATAAAAAAAAACAACTCTAAGGTGTTTCCTTTTTTTTATTTTTTAAACAAAAAATGAGAATAGTTTTAAAAAAATAAATTCAAAATACTTATCTAAATAATTTTTTTATTTTTTTAATTTTTAAAAACAGGAAAATAGCACTAAAGGACCGCTGAGGAATATTAAGATCAATGAAGGATCAATTGATTTCAAAATTGCACTACAATCTCTTGATGGTTGACTGATATTAATTTTTAAAATTAAAAGATCAAATTGCCCCTCAAGTTAAACGAAAAAACAAAAAAAACCTCTACTATCATTGGTGTCAGCCATTGGACCACCGCCGGACCCCTACCAACAACAAGGTCGCCGGAGTTCCAATGCTGGCAACATTTTTATTGAAAGAATAATTGATTTAGATGGCTAAGAGAGGGTTTGATCTCATGATCCTTTGCCACTTGAAAAGCTTAGTGACCACTAAACCCTTTAATGATATATAGCCAAAAAAAAATGTAAATTAGTAAACTAAGTTTTTAACAATTTTTATGTTATAACATAACAGTGTGTTGTTAATTTATAAATGAAACTTATTATTTTATATTATAAATGTTACTTTTTAATTTGACATGAACAATTATAATTTAGGAGCTTTAAAACTTCATATATTTTACTTATTGAGAGTCCGAATGCATTATTGTTAATTATGAATAAATTATTGTCAAAACTCAAATGAATACTTGTTAATGAAAGACTAACACGTATAATAAAACTCATCTTAATAGTTTTTCGAACTTGTTAAAATCAAAATAGATTATTGTTAATTTTGAATGAATTGTTGTGAAAACTTAAATGTACACTTGTTGATGAAAGGCTAACATATACAATTAAGCCCATCTTATCTGTTTTTCTAACTTGTTAAAGCTTGAATAGACTGTTGCTAATTTATATGATTTCTTGTCAAGATCCAAATAGATACTTGTAGTTGATGATTAAAAGTACAGTTCTAACGAATTGTTGCTTTTCTAACTTGTTAAATCTCAAATGGATTATTATAATTTAGAGTGAGGTATTGTTAAAACTTAAATAGATACTTGTTGATGAAAGATTAACACATACAATTATACTCATTTTATATGCTTTTCTAGCTTGTTAAAGTCCGAATGGACTACAGTTAATTCATAAGGAGTTGTCAAAAACTAAATGAATACTTGATGCTGATAATTAAAAACACAGGTCTAATAGAACAAGTGTGTAAGCAAGTCATTTTAAATTAACAACAGTCTATTCAAGCTTTAACAACAATGGATTACCTGATCTTGATCCCTTTTTCAAGACTTGTTTTCTGAGCATGACTTCTCTAAAAAAAACTATCACTTTACCAAGTCCAAACTCTTATGAAAATGAGTTTAAATTGGTGGTTATCAGACTTGACCCTTATTCGTAGCTCTAGATACATATAACTTAAGTTAAGATCATGTATAAATGTGGCTAGAACTATTGAAAGTGTTGTTTGCAGTGCCCTAGATTTACACTTAGAAAGAAAGTAGTAGTTTTCACAGTACATCGTCCCTCTGATATTTCAGGACCAAATCACTTTCACGATATTAATTAAACAATCCAAGCTTGCAATTGTCAACTATCGAAGGATGACATGTTATTGCTTTCCAAAGTGATCGGCCTAACATGAATCTATTGAATGGGCTGGAGATCGTAAAACTAATTAAGATTGCATAAGACCTCTCACCCTGCTCTATAATTTTCTTAGGTCAAGTCATTTTCATTCAAACGGTCCACCCTTGCCATCTTAAATAAGCTATTGTGGTGAATCCTTTTATTTTTGCATGCAAATGATACCTAACTTCAGCTAATGCCTAACTTTTTAGGTAAGTCCTAACTTTTAAGGTAGTCCCTATGCCTTTTGAGGAAAAGAAAAAAAAAAAAAAATAAAACAAGACAAGACAAGACAAAACAAAAGGAGTGGCCCCTGTGCCATGCCCATATATGTAGCAATTGAGATTGCCCAATAAGACCTCCTACCCTCCTTTATGATTTTCTTAGGCCAAAGCCTTCATTTTTTTTAACCATAAAGCCCAAATCCTTTTTATTTCAATCATAAAGCCTTGCCATCTTCAATAAACTGCTGAGGTATGCTCATCATCACAAGCACATGTGATGGAATATGATTGTAATTTAATTAATTTATTTAGAATATTAAGATTATTCATTAAATAAGAATATTTATTTGTTAAAATTATCATATAAAACTTTATTTCATTGTTATCTTCGACTCATTTATATTCAATAAGATATTATAATATCATCCTATCAATATCTTTTAAAATTATTTTTAAAATTTAGATTTAAATTTATTATTTTATCATTTTAAAACTTTATAAATGGAGTTAATATTTTTATTTATATTAACTTTGAGCATTATTAAAAAAAAATTTGAGAGGCTTAATATTATCCCTCCTTTTTCTCTCTCTTTCTCTTTTCCCTTCCCATTTTATATATATCAACATGATACCTAACTTTTTAAGCTAAATACCTAACTTTTTAAGAAATTCTTCACTTTTAAAGTAGCTCCTGTGCCATGCATATGTTGCATATGTTATGTACTACTACAAAACATGTTTTTTATATTGATTAAAAATAACTTTTTTATATTTAAAAAAATTTCAAATACAGGTTACATGTTTAACCGGTGTCAGGGGCTGGAACCAGGTACACTTTTAAGGGTCCCTCAACCTCACGTCAACTGCATGTAACGTGTGGTATATATGTGTACGGTTGAGTGGTCTTCCTCTTTTTGTTAAAAACAAATTCTACCTTGTATTTCCACCGCATTCAAATAAATTAATATTGTGCATACATAAATAATTATAATTTTTTATATTAAATAGATATAAATTTTATACTATTTTCGTTTATAAAAATATTTTTATTATTGATGCATGATGAAGACTACCTCTTTAGTAACAAAAAGAGTATAAATTAATATTTATATGAGTAAAATACAATAGCATATCCTCTATTTTATTATTGGGGCTTTTGCCCATGTTATAGAACCAAACCTGGCAAACACTGTTAAGATTTATTTATTATATTTTACATTATGATAGGTTTATTATATTTTAATAATATATCATTATATATCAATAATAAATATCTTAAAAATTTTTAATGATAAATTCTTTGCATATCAATAATAAATTTTTTGTATATCAATATGAATCGGCCACAATTCTAAATTTTAAAAAATTTAGCTCATATTTTTTGAGTACAATATTTTTTTTCTAGTGGGCCAATTCATCCCTTATTTATTTATTTATTTATTTTACGTACACACACCTCTCTTTTGTTTTGAAAATCTATATTTACCTTTTATAGAATCAATAGTTACAAAATACAAACATCCTATATACTTTTAAAATTTTATTTTCAACTATCTAACTATTATTTGATTGTTAAGTTACATGCGTTTGATCAAAATACTTCACTTTGAACATATATTTTTTCTAAAAGTAATTCCTATATTTTTTCTAAAAGTAATTCAAATTACCTAAAATAATTTTTAATACATATACTTTTTACTTTTTTTTATAATTCTTATCTTATGATTTTTCAAATTATAAAAATATTTTATGAAATATTTATTCTAAATTTAAAAACATAAAATTAAATTATCAGCATCATATACAATAAATTTTATTTAAATTTGGCCCCCCACCATATCTATCTTGATTTTGCCATGGACTAGGGTAGAATTTTTTTTTTTTTACATTGATTATATGCGGAATCAATGTAGAAAATGTTATTTCAAGTCTAATTATTTACAACAATGTCACCTCTCATAATTTTATCACAGTTCCTTTTCAACTGGTGAAAAAAGTATTTTTGGCAGTAGTAATGACCTATTTCTTTTTTGTAATGATTTAAATTGATCATTATGTCATGGTTGCAATATGTGAATATCCCTTGAGATGTTTTGCTGGCAGATTACTGGCCAGGATGTTGATTGGCTCAATCATTTAAATCGAAATATGCTCCTCTTATGTCTTTTTCTCTTATGTAGCATGACCTTACTTTAAGAGCATAATTTGTTATCGATGAGTTTCAGACTATATATTATGATTGTTATAAACTGTACTAGTTCAAATATATTAGCATACATGTTGGATTCAAGTTTTTATTCCAATTTAGATGGAAATACTGTATGTTCTGGCCATCCTGATCTGAATGCGGCAGAGAAATCAATTGCGTTCTCTCTTGACAAATTTATTTTGTTGTAAACTTTAGTCTGGGGTCATTGATTTCGAATGATCCATTGTTTTTTTTTTTCTTGGGTAGAGAATGATCCATACTTGTGAAAGGGATTTAGATATAGGAACAAAAAGGTGGTTGGGCTACTAAAAAGAAGCTTGTTTGATCCACATATTAAATGGACCAGTTCGTTTTGCCCATTCTTCTTCTATTCTTTATTTTCTTTTTTTTTTCCCCCTGCTTTTTCTGGCTTTTGCAAATAAAACACTTTTGTGTTCATAGCATCTTTCTATGGGTTAGGAACTTCTCTTTGAATTATTTTGGAACTAGCTAGAAGATGCAGAAAAAATATCTCTCCAAGAGAGAAAGAGTTCAGACTGTTGGCTATTTCACCTAATTAATTTAGTCTAATTAAGTAATCACAAAAAAAAGTAGAGATAAACATAATCGGAACGCCTTTCAGCAGATCAAAGACATTAATTGGAAGGTAATCAACAGTCTTAGACTAGCAAATATAACTTTAAATTCAATTTTGACTTCACAAACCCGATTTATTTTTCATTTTAGTCCTCACACTTGTTGATTCTTGTACATGCTTCCACTGGGCGTATGGGTATACACAACAACAACAGAAAATATAATTCACATGACATTTTCGCCCAACATAACCATGCCCTACACTTCAAACACTTAAAAAATATACGTATACATCACAAACTTTCCCCACCCCACAGAGAAGGGGAAAACGCTTCAAACTTCTTAATTTTTTTGGGTAATATTTGGAAATTAAATATTATTGGAACCACCCTAAATTGATTAATATTAGATTTTAGACCTTACACTTGTTGATTCTTGGATCTGCCATTGAACACCATTAAGCAAGAGATCCAACTCTTTTGCAAATCTCTCCATGCATTCAGGTGGCAAGCAAACAGGCACCAACCTACCTTCCTCTCCTTTACTATTGGCATGTCCAACATAAAAAATTTGTCCTTGAAATGTATCAAATCCACTCTTTGCAGGACCGGCATACGCTGCCTTACCCCAACCAAAATCAACATTTCTAAATCTAAGACTGCTCAAATCTGACACCATACATGATAGCATAGTCCCAGAACCTGTTGGTCCTTTAGTACCTATCAGATCAGCCACGGAGTGAATATACTCACCATTCACTTCTGCTATTGCTTTCCTCACTAACTCCAAAGCATACCCTAAGGGACTCTCGCAAAGCTTACTAGCAGTTGAAATTGCAGCTGGAAACGCAATAGCATTGCCATAATAACCTTTTGGTAATGGAGGGTTTAATCCATTATGTCTGAAACGTGCGTTGACGAAAATCTTGACGCGAACCTCTTTGTGTGGGTCCAGCTGTAAAGCTTTTGTTCTACAACGCCAGAGACATGCCGTGATAACCTCCGATGATGAGGAGCATTGTCTTATGTGGTCAGGGAGTAATCTACGAAGGGAAGAGACCTCAGTTGGTCCGAAGAAAAAAGAGCGATGAACTATGCTTGTTGAAGAGATCATGGTATCGATCACTTCATCGTACTCATGATGCATGCATGTAACATTTGGTGGGTCTCTTGCATTTGGATGTTCTCTATGCCATACAGGTAGAACCAAAGGCTCATTTGCACCATTTGCTATGTCGGCGAGAGCATTCATGAATTGGAGAATACCAGATCCATCGCATATACTGTGATTCATGCGAACCCCAAAGATGAAACCTCCACACTTAATTCGTGTCACCTACAATTTGTGAATATAGAGACTATCTAGTTTTCTTTATCATAAATAATTTGTGTTTGTGTGTTTTTTCACGATAATCAGAAATAGAGTGTATAAACCTGTATAAGCAAGATGGGACAGTGAAGGATTTTTTCGGAACCAGGAGGAGAGTAAAGTAGCTCATCGAAACATGGAAAGGGAGGTTGAAGATCATCACCAAATTGTTGAAGAGTGATATCAGCGTCAGCTTCAATGAACATCGCTCCTTCTCCATTACATTCCACTATGAGTTTGTGACCTTCACCTTCCCTAAGTCTTCCTGCAAATGGATAGTAAAATACAAGAGCATTAGCTAGAGCATCTCTAATGACTTTGACGGGGTCTTTTCCAGCCATAGAAGGCTTATGATGATAGAAATGTATGACTGGAATTTGGATTCGTAAGAATTCTTGGCTATCAATTATAGATAGAAACTTGACCTCATGAGGAGTGGGCTTTGCCGGAGATATAAGCTCCGGCTTTTGTCTCCTCACATTGAAGACGAGATCCAAAGCAGATTGCTTTGCCATTAGGTATATACTTCAATGCAAATGTGAAGGTTGAAGAAGAAGAGAGATACAAAAACTAGGAGTGGCTTTAGTTGCTTTATGTTTTCTTTGGATGGAGCTAATATATATAGATAATCTGCTTTGAAAGGGTGATTATGAGTGATTGAAGTAAAGGAAGTAAAATGACACTTAAGTACTTCATTTGACATGGTAATCGTTTTAAAGGATCGCAAAAAAAAAAAAAGGCAAAAAAAGGTAGTTATTATATAAATTATTTATATTAAAGTTTACTATTTTAATGAAAAACATCAATAAATGTTTTATTAAACTTTTTAAAAGAACATGTATGATAAATACTCCTTTCATATTTTTGATATTCTGCCATTTGATTCTAGAAATATTTTGTATTCTAACATGACATAAATTATATATTTACACAGTTTATCCATGGTTTTATATTACAAAAATAAAAATAAAAATAATTTACACACACTAACCTCACCCCCATCAACTGGTCCTCTTCTTTGGGCCCACAACTCGCCTTTAATGTGCACTGAAAATAAAACGGGATGAATTGACAATGGTGGACCTAGGACATGAAGACATTATAGTACATGGGGTATTATTACATTTTTTAAAATACTAAATAGATAATAATTATTATATAAAGTTGAATGTATAAATATTAAAATTATATATATTATTTTACTATAGATAATTGAATAGAATTATTTCAACTTATAAAATCGGAATTCGCCTAATTTAGATTTCAAGGAAGAGAAAAAAAAAAACAATTTATGCTTGGCACATAATTCCCTATAAATAACAAAGTGCATCACAAATTCAAAGTCTTGATTCAGCTTGCCCTTTGCACTTCAAGGGGGAAAAAAGACTGTTAAATTTTATTTATATGTTTCCCATCCCACATCCAATTTTTTTCCAACAAGGCTAAAATTGATTCTTAGAGAGATGAAGAATATTAAAATTGACATGAAGATAATATTAATGTCTTTCATCTTTTCATAAACTCCCTCTCCAATCAATAATTTTGGATTATCTTTATGCTCTTGATCGTCATAAAAAGCCTTTTTTAATCTAGTGTAATGATGACCCTATTTAAGAAATATTCTATGGTCAATGTAGATTATCTTCATTCCATGTTAAAATTGATGATAACAAGTGTCTTTTTCACAAATAGAACATCTTTTGTATCTTCTAACACTATAATATCCTAATAAGTTTTTGTATGCAAAGAAGTTATTTATGGTGTAAAAGATCATAACATGTATTTTAAAGATTTTCTTTTGATTAGTGTCAAACACACCAATACCTACCACCCATCGCTCTTTCAAGTATTCGATCAAAGGTCTTAAATAAATATCTATATCGTTCCCTAGTTGCTTTGGTCACAAGATCAACATATAAAGCATAATATATTTGTGTTTCATGCATAGCATAAGAGATAAGTTGTTAATATTGCTAAGAACTATAAGGATTCATGCCATTCATACTAAAACCTAGCTCAAAATTCCTTGGCTCATTGCCAAAATCGAGAAACAATCAATTAATTTTCATCCATTGCATGGAATTTGCTAGATGCCTTAGCTTTCCATCAGAAACCTTATTTATCTTAGATTTTTTGCATCCTTTTTATTTGCAAACAAGCATTTGAGTCTTGTTACAATTGAAAGATATTGTACCTCAACATCTTTGTAAGAGCTTTATTCTCCTTTTGCCTCGGTGTCTTACATACTGAACAAAGATTTTAATGTGTTAATAATATTAATAACAAGAGTTATAAAATTAAATAAATAATATATAAAAGATCTGCAAGTCTTGATTTTATTATAAACAAGCATTTAAAATATATAAGACTGAATATATAAGTCCTAAAATAGAGAATTTATGACAGTTAAGTTCTCGACAAAATTTTTTTAAAAATAAGTTACAAATATGGATTCAAATGGTTACAAATAGAAGTCTCAGTTGTAAATTGAGAATTATATTTAAAATTTAAGTGTCTTATTTTTAATTAAAACTTTAAATTTGCAATGGTATAAATATAATATTTAAACTGATTCTACAGAAAAATTTATTGAGATCTAGTTGTTATAATAAATTTATTGTTTTTGGAATTTACCCTCCGTTTGAATGAGAAGAAAAATTGGAAGGAAAGAAAATGAGAAGAAGAGAAAATTAATAAAAAAAATATTATCACTTCTTGTTTTTGGATAGACAAGAAAATACAGGGAAAAAAGAACATGAGTAAATATTATAATGACAATAATACCCTAATGTTAAAATATATCACATTTCATATAATTATCTTTATGAAAATAAATTTAAAAAATTATATTAAAATTAACATCACCAAAATAATTTAAAAGGAAATTAGTTCATAAAAATGTATTTTCATGTTATTATAATTTAATATCAAAAGTTTAGTAAAAGTATGTTGTTTTTCTATTTAAAAAATAAAAATTATGTATTTTTTAAAATCAAATACAATAACAGTTTTTCGTCTAAGTTGGATACTCTGTCCAAAATTATCCCCACTCAATGTTGTGCTTCCATTAAATGAATAGTGTCCTTATAATTAATAACAGAGTTTGTGTAGTTTTTTTTTTTTTACCTGGAAGAGTTTGTGTAGGTGGTATACTGTGAAATGAAGAAAGCATTGCATATCACCGATTTGAGCATTATCTACGATGAAGACAAAAAATAAGGCAGCGAGGTTTAGGAAGAGAACACATGAGAGAGTGAGGGCAGACATGAAAGAATGACTTTGGGCTTGTTTGGCAACCTATTCTGAAAACAGTTTTCTGTCCTCCAGAATAAAAGAATAAAAAAATTTGTTCGATAATGTGTTTTTAAAATGTGTTTTAGAAAACAAAAAAACAAAATATTGTTCTGGAGAACAGAAAATTAAAAATAACTTTCAGGTGTTCTGAAATTATTGTTATGAAGAATAAAGGAGAATGAAAAAAATATCTATTTTTATTATTTGTTTTGTTCTCAGAACATGTTTTTTAAAACACCAGTTTTCAGAATAATAAAATAAAAACAGTTTCAAATAGTTCATTTCTTTCCAAATTCTCTCCACATATAGAGAGAAAACTTGAGAAGAAAATATAATAAGTCCCATATTCTATTTTCTCTTCCACTTTTCTTTCCTTTCACTTTTCTTTCCTCTTCCAAACAGAGGAAAAGTTATTTTCTCTCCTATTTTACTTTCTAGTTTTTTTTCCTTCCATATTTTCTTTCCATCCAAACAGAGTATTAATGTTATTCTCCCTTTAATCAATACTTTTTTATTAAATTATTCTAGAATTAAAATAGGTGAAAGTTACAAGTAGGAAAGAGACCCAGAACATCAGAATCTATACTAACAAGTGCATAAACGAGTAGAGCGAAGATTGGAATCAATATATAAAGATATCAAATAAGGGAATTGAAGATATTATAGAATAAAAAATAATACTTGGATATTCTTTTTCCGAAAACATGTTATTATTAAAAAAAAACTTAGCTGTCAAGAGGTTTTTCAAAATACTTTAATGTTATGAGTAAAATACAGAACCTTTCTCTTGTCTCGCTAAAAATTACAAATATTTTTTCACTATTTTTAAAACCTACACTTTAGTTCAATCTTTAGCACCATTATGAATGTTTCATTAATAATTCTAAAATACTTTTTTATCTGTAATTATGTTTAAAATTTTGAAATTATTATTTTTCCTTTATGATCTAAAAACTTTACATTATAAATTATGTCAATATTATATTAAATTCTTATTTCATAATTTTTAATTGTGTTTAAATATTATTTTAACCAATTTATGTATTTAATTTTTTAAAAATTACAAAATATATACATTTAAAAAAATTAAAAAATAAATAAGAAAGTAAAAAATATATTCATTAATTTTTTGATAATTTGAATGATTTTTAGACAATATTTATGTTTGAATAGGAGTATCCTGGTCCATCATATGTGATTTAACAGTTAATTAATGGTTGGATGAATGAAAATAATATTTTTTTAAAAAAATAGAGAGTATGTTTGTGTTTCGTAATTATTCATACTATGACTGTTTTGTATAAGTTTCAAAAGTAGAAGGGAGCTATATATAATTAAGGCAAAATAGAGGTTAGTCAGAGTATTTGTAACAATGGGTATAATAGGAAAGGACTGAGATTCTAGAATAATTGGAGTAAGTATTATGAATGATTATTTTTTTATTGAAATTTTCATTTCAACCTTTTTTATACCAACTATTTCAGTCTATTTAAGACCATTTATTTTATTTTTAAATTTTTTCTAGATTTATTTCTAAAATCATTTATATAGTTTTAAACAATTTTGACATTCATATATTCAATTTGTTGTTTAATTTTTTTTAGCAAATCAAGTTGGCATACATGGTAGAAGTCTCAGTGTTATTTAAACATATGGTTGCGGCTTGAATCTCAACTCTTACGTATGTAAAAATTAAATTTGTTCATATGGTTATATCACATACAAAATACATGGGGCAAATTAAATTTTCCTATCCATGTAGTATTTATCATTTCTGTCTCACCAAAAAAGAAATCTTACCCCCACTAATCCTGGGTTCTAGATTCACCATTGAGCCTTAGGTAAGAAATAAATTGTAGTTGCTCACGCACTTGAAAAAAAAAAAAAAAAAAAAAAAACTCTGTTGTGGTAGCAGTTCATTTAATTTGTTGTGGTTACGTAAAGCCGCTACAAGATATAGTCGAAAAAAAAATTTTCAGAAGATTTCTTGAAACTAGATATAGGTTCAAGTGTATAGAACCTGAGTTAAGATATATAAATGTGGTTAGAACTATTGAAAGTGTTGCTTGTAGTGCCCTACATTTACATTAAGAAAGGAAGAAGTAGTTTTTTCATAGTTCTACTTCGTCCGTCCATGATATTTCTGGGTCAAATCACTTTCACGATATTAATTAAACAATCCAAGCTCGCAATCTTCAACGATCGAAGAATGACATATTGCTTTCCAAAGTGATCTATCTAACATGAATTAATGGTTGATGACATATTAGCAATTAAGAT